GGTCATTCACTCAGAACAACCCTCTTTGTGAACCTATATCTTTTGTTTCTTTTGCCTAATATCACCCCAAGGCCTTGTTACAACTCGTGAAGTCCTAAATGATCTAGAGAAGCATGGGTGATGCATACTTTTAAAGAAAAAGAGAAGTTGATTTTTCTATCTAATGCCCTAGCATTCCTTTCATGAGATTATGCCAAGGTTGTTTCATTTTTATGCATACTTCATTTTTTGATTATATGTGAGCATACTTTGTTTTGTGCACAAGATTCTATCTCACTTATACACGTGGAGTGCATGCTCGGATAATCATAGTGTATTCATTTTTGAGAGAAACCCTTGGTGAGTTTTTGCATCAAAGCTTAATTTGGATACCCAAAGTGAATGTGAACTCCGTTGCATAAATGTTTCAATTAAATATTCATTTCACACACACACGAGTTTTGAAAGGAAATTTGTATGTGGATACTCTAGAATAGCATTTAAGGCTATGATGTGTCTCATGTGTGATTGGTTCAGGTGTGTGAACAAGTTATTTTGACATCCCATTGCTATTTAAGATAATGGAATATGCTTTAAATATTGGATATTAGGAAAAGAAGTTTGTAGGTACCTTCACANCCATTGCTATTTAAGATAAAGGAATATGCTTTAAATATTGGATATTAGGAAAAGAATTTTGTAGGTACCTTCACGAGAAAAAATTTGTCCACTTGGAATCACCTAGGGGTTTAAATGCTTGTTGCATGTGCTAAATGCAATTGCGGAATTAATACATGTTAATTTTGTTTGCTAGGGACTAGCAAATCTTAAGTTGGGGGGTGTGATGAGTGCAAAATATTGCATATTTGAAGGCCTCATTACATGCATTTTAACTCAACTTTTGCATTTAAGTACTTAGAGTTAGTCGAAATTATGAATAATGTTGATATTTTGATGTTGCAGGTATTTGTAGTATAAATGATGTATTTTAGAACCTTGAAACTATGTTGGATGTGTGGTTAAGATATGGACACATTACATGAGGATTTAGAGGCTTAGAAGTGAAGAAATCAAGCAGGTATTGGTGTTTAGTAACAAAGGCACCAACACTAGCACTATCTGGTGGAAGTACCTCGGTTTTTCTCCATTTTGATTATGATCCACTCAGAAAAATGGAATAGTTTAAAATATGAAGTTGTAGATCTGGATGTCTTCTGTATGGTATCCAAATTTCAGCTCATTCCAACTGTTGGATCAAAAGTTATGTCGATTCTATGAAAACTGGCCCAGAGCATGCAACTTACCAGAAAGACCTATCGGTAGATCTCTAAAAACCTACCGGTAGGTATTGTCCAGAATGCCCAGAATGTCTGCAACTCATCTCCACCTTGCTTGGGGGTCCCATCTACACTTCTCCCACATTTTTCCTGACTTCTCTTACACATTTACATGCCTCCTACACCTTACTTGAAGACTTGGAAGGCTTGGGCATTAATGTGGATGGGAGAGAACAGATGAAGCCTGGGGAGACATGTCCTAGCCTACACCACCCATCCATTTTGCCCCCCTATTGATGGGAGGCCTTCCACACAGCTAGAGGGACCCTCCATGGATGAAAATACAAGAATTTTTCACCATATATTCAGCATTCAACAAGTTTTAAAGGGGGTGGCTACCTAAGCTTAGGAGGAGTTCAAAGAAGAAGATGATGAATAGTGTAATAGAAGATTATGTTTTTGCATTTTCTTCACTGATTTCATTGCAGTAAGTTGTAGCTCTCTTGTAATCTTTATTTCTTGCATTGTAATCTCCTTTATTTCAAGTATATTTCAAGTTTAGTTACATGTTCTTCAATCCACCATTGTTGCTTCCATGTTTTCTTCATTTCTTGCTTTAAAATGGGTATTGTATTTCTTTCTTTATAGTTCAAGTTTTCTTGCTTTAAGTTAAGTTTCAATCTTCATTTCTTCATTATGCCTCTTTATATTATGCATTTGTTTCTTGCTTTCATGAGTAGCTAGATTTTAAGTTGGTTAATCCAAGGGAGACCTCCTCTTGGGTTTTTCAATTCAACTCATTTTCTTTTCTCCTCTCGGTGTACGATGGTTCGGTTTGGCGGGGTTGAGGGTGGATGAGATGGTGAGCCTTTGATATCCCGTAGGCCTGGTCATGGTTTATGCTTCGATACTCATTCCATCTTGTCTCTAGCTTTCCACGAATCAATCGTTCATCTATGCACCATTGGAGGAAGGTTTCGAGTTAAGTTGCGATTCCCATTGGAATGACCTCTTTGGATTAGCCAACACTCATTTTATTGTATTTTCATTCACAAATTCCAATCACCAAAACACAAACAATTACACTTTTCCCTTTTCACAAAATCACCTTCANTAAGTTGCGATTCCCATTGGAATGACCTCTTTGGATTAGCCAACACTCATTTTATTGTATTTTCATTCACAAACTCCAATCACCAAAACACAAACAATTACACTTTTCCCTTTTCACAAAATCACCTTCACACAGTTGAACTTTCCTTCCCTGAGGAGACGACCTTGGTATACTTTTCCAAGTTAAACACGACATACAAAAGACTCCTTGCGCTTGGGGAGCACTTTTGTTCACACGCACATATTTCATTCCAAACATTTTGTTCATTCCATTCCATCCACCATTCCGTTGCCCCCTCTCTTGCATCATTCTGAGGGAGAGTGACACTCCCTTTCACACATAAACCCCATACACATATTTGAGGTTGATGCTATGAGACTAGGGAACAACAACGAAAAATGTCAAGCAATAATATCGTAAAAGAAATGGTCAAGGCTCAAAATTAATCTAAAATGGCCTAAGATCATTTTCCAGAAATCATACACTTGAAAAATTCCTACGTAAAAATTTTAAGGATAATGCAAATAATACAATCTAATGAGTGTTAATCAAAACAATACTAATGAGATTATTTAAAGAAAATTACAGTTGAATCGAAAATTCTTATTTGAGTAGATGTAGAATGTCTCTCCAAGAAAGATTGGCTCAAATTCTGCAATTTGTTTTACATCTCCACTATTTATGCAAAGAAATTAATATTTCACAAGGTTTCCAAAATAAAGAAATCTATTTGTGCTCAATATAATAATATTAAACAAAAATATTAAGATAATATACAACTAAAATATAAAAATCTCGTGTGATCAAATTTAGACTATCCTTGCAAAGCATGAGAATAATAACCTAATTTAATTGTAAATTATATGAAATAATCCTCCTAACTTAAAAACATGAGTTCCACATTAACTAACAAAAACAAACTTACTNCCCGTGTGATCAAATTTAGACTATCCTTGCAAAGCATGAGAATAATAACCTAATTTAACTGTAAATTATATGAAATAATCCTCCGAACTTAAAAACATGAGTTCCACATTAACTAACAAAAACAAACTTACTAACAAAAAAAAGTTCAAAACCAAAAACAAGTTTAAAACATAAAGTAAATTCAAGTGTATAAATAAGAGATGAGTAAGAGATACAAAAGGCCTATAGAATCTCCAGTGTCTCTGATCAAGATGTAGACGGGCCTCCTCCAAAATGCTATCGGATTAACCTCAACATTTCAGCTTGGTTTTGNAGTTCAAAACCAAAAACAAGTTTAAAACATAAAGTAAATTCAAGTGTATAAATAAGAGATGAGTAAGAGATAGAAAAGGCCTATAGAATCTCCAGTGTCTCTGATCAAGATGTAGACGGGCCTCCTCCAAAATGCTATCGGATTAACCTCAACATTTCAGCTTGGTTTTGCTCATAATCAACCATACATTGATTGATCTAGATGATGTTGGTCCCAAGTTGGGAAATAGTGGTTTCCAATCCTAGCAAGATTTGTTTATCAGTATTATCATCCACTGTTATGTACGGCTGATCTTCTTGTGGTAGAGGCTGCTCTAGTCGAAAAAATTCTTCAAGTCCTTGGGATGACTCCTCTTGTGGTGCTGGTGGTACTTCAGGTTGTTCCTCAGGTTGAACTCCATGACTTTTTTTCAAAGAAGTCTTGTCTAACGGTGCAAAATGCTCCACCATTTTCCACTAGGGATCTATAATCACTCCCTTGTCCCTACGTAACAGTAAAGCTAACATAGCATATGGGAGTGAGGATTTCTTCCTTGAACAGTAATCAACATTTGATCCATAATGAGGTGCAGAAGATCAATAGTGCATCCCATCCCAAAGGCATATAGGAAGTAGGCTTGCTCAATATATATCTGGTTTTTCTAGGATCGAAGGTAACAGACTATTTACTGTAATCAAATTCAAAATTTGGTACTTGTTTGTTAAATCCCCTTGCTTTATATATTTGTGTGGCCTCCCCCATACATAATCTGGATTACTTGTCAATTCTATCCCTACATTGGTCAAATCAAGCACTTGTCTATAAGGGTATTAGGGGTTGGGATGTCTTTGCATAGGTTGAAAAATGTCGGCTATAGTAGCTAATGTAACTTGAAAAGTTCTACCCCAAACAAACACACTAAATTGTCTTTACCCAGTTATTTGTGCATTACTATAAAATTCAATTACCAAACAATTATAAGCAAGAGCAACAAACCTAACATAATCTAGCCATCCACGTGCAGAAAGAATTTGTCTAACTCCTATATTTTCAAAATCTTCATAAATTACTGACCTTTCAAGAATGATAGTTTTAGACATGAAATAAGTATCATACCAAATCTATTGGTCAACATTCTCAAATACCGCAACATTGTAGATATTTCATAGTTGGGGTTGTTGTGGAGGCGCTTCGGGTTGCGGAGGTTGATTCATTCTTGCTCGACTCAAAGAACCTCTAGTTCTTTGCCTTGGATTCATCTTTCTACTGATTTCTCTCTAAATACTTGCTTTCAACTGATTTCAATCAGTAGAAACCTTGAAAATGGCATGGGTACGTGAATGATCGGAGAAAATTTGAACAAAAACGGTTGAATATAGTAGATTTGAGAAGAAAATGCAAAGGAACAACGCTGTTTTCGTATTTCAGGCTATGAGGGAATTGAAACTGATCGAGTTTTTCATGCTACTGGGTATTTATATAAGCACTAAGAGCATGCTTTACTTCTCAAAGTTTGATTATCACAATTTTAACCCCATGCAGATATGAACAAATTACACTTTAACACACAATATTTATAAAATATTATGTTATGCATGTTCGGGTCTCACAGTACGTGTTTGGATCATAAGTCTAATCGAACTTTGGCATGGCCGCAATCTAAAAATACAACAAACATTAATACCAAGACTAGTCTCTATAAAATGAAATGTGGTTGGGTTTAAATCATAAGATCATTGTTAAATGCCTTAAATTGTCTTAGTGAATTGTACAATGCATTTAGAGTTCAATACACAACCAAAAGCAGAATCAGAGGGTCGGAGCTCTTTCTGCTGATCCGGCAAGCACAGTGAGCAAGTTGTTGCCAAAAGGATCACTCAAATGGGCTGCAAGGTTTTCTACAGGGCCTTGTCCAGTGACGTAAGCTTGGATGAAGAAACCGAGCATGGCGAACATTGCTAGTCTACCATTCTTAATCTCCTTCACCTTCAGTAGAGCAGCCTGGTCTGGATCATTTGCAAGACCCAGTGGGTCAAAAGGACCACCCGGGTGAAGTTTGTCCTCCAAATTCTACAAGGGAAAGAAATGCAGGAACAACCAAGTGAGAAACCTCATAGTCCCATCTCTGCGACAAATTTCAAATATGAACTTTTGATAATGTTGATAGGCTTGTCAATGGGTTAATCGGTTTAGCTTCGGGCAATCCAAATCTAAATCTGATTTAAAAAAAAATGATTATTGATAAATTTTATTTTTACAATTCTTCGGAAATCCAATTCGAGAACCTAATTCAATCAGAATATCACAATTTAAGCTTAATTTTGGAAAATTTCAATTTTTTAATCCAACTTCATTCAAACGATAAGGGTTAATATGCGTATACACATACAAAATTGGATCTAATCAAATTTGGTCCATCCAAATTTGAATCCGTGGAGTATGTTAATTTATATTCAATCAATTGGATTCAGACCAAAATTTGATTCATAACTGGTTACTAATGCAAATGATGGCCAAAAATGTATGTGAAATCCTGGGGCTGCCTTCGCAAAAGAGAAGGCTGCATTTCATAGAGTTTTTGCATTTCATGGCTGCACTGGATTTTGTCATATGATTGAACTGGATAAAAAGCAAATTGACATGATATTTCGATATCTATATGGAATGATATTGATCTAAGGAGTTGACTATTGTATGAATTCTTTTTTACCATACTTCTATTTATCATATTTATAAGTGTTTTTATCATTATTATGATATCTAAAAAATTAAAAAAGAAATAGTTATCACAACAATAATAAAAACATTCACAAATGTGACAAAAACACCCATAAAAGTGGAAATTTTTTTTTTGTACAAAAAAAAGTTGTAGAAATAGTTATCATAAATGTTGTAAAAACATTCACAATAACAGAAAAAATACCAACAACAATAATAAAAATACTCACAAAATTGATAAATTACCCATAAAATTTATAAAAATACCCATAAAATTGTAAAAAATAGAAGTACAGTACCAAAAGTTTTTATTCTCTACCATAGTAAAGTCCTTAATCTAATGGTATGTATGGTTAACTTTTTCGAAGATGTTCAATTAAGAATAAAACTGAAATTTATGGATCATTAGGACAAGACTAGTGAAAAGACGATGAACAACGTATATTGAAGCTTCGCACATACCAAGCCGTTTGTAATTCTGTAATATTCTGCGCCACCAACAAGAACAACCTCAGCAACGACAGCAACAACCAGATTAATAGGAATGTTCTTTCCAAAGTAATTCAATGTGTTCCCGTCCAAAAGTAGAGCTCCTGTCTGCAAAATTGCCCGAGCAAAGGAATCAAGAGATTGGGAAAGCCCAAACCAAAAACACTATTTTTCTAACCCCTTCCATCCCTCCTAATATCCTTGGTCGACAGGACCTAACTTCGTGATTATTTTTGGATCAAAATATAAATTGAGTAATATTAGACTGACAAAAAATGAGATAAAAAAAAGGCCAAATGATTTTAGCAATCAAAATCTAACACTCTTGAATTGCTGAAAAGAAGTCAAACACTTTGATTTTTTCTTTACTAATTATAACTGTATTTAATGAAATGAAAGTTCACAACATTGATACGCAGAGGAGGATGCAAATTATACATACCTTGAACCAAACAGCTTCAGGGCCACAGTTAGCTCCAAATTTGTTGAAGGCCTCAGGGATGATAAAACCGGCCGCACCTAGCATGGCCCACCGGGCGTGAATCAGCTCATATGCTTGATATCTGCGTTTAAACACGCCCACAATTTCTTCAGCATTAATACAGTCTACAACACTAATTAAGTTGATTGTGCGTATCTCATACCCAGAGGTGCTCTCTGCCGGTTGGCGACACAAAGCCGGGCCGGGTGAGGTCTCAATTGAAAAAGATGAAGGGCTCCAAACTAAAATGAAAATACTCCACTCACCTCACAAACATCTATTCTCGCTCCATAAAAATTTCTATGTTCAAACAACTAAGTTCATTTTTTCTATATCCACCTCATTTTAGCTAAATTTACTCCATACTTTATATACATCTTTAATAACAAGTCCGTCTTCTATCTTCTTATAATTAGTGTTTTATTTACTATTTTTTTTATACACTATACACAAAAGAACTTTTTCAATATAAATTAATTAGTAAGATGAGTACATCACTTCTATATCTATACATTATCTAAACATATTCTAACTTCTATTAAAACAACCTTCATTATATTAACATGAGGAGGAGTAGCTTGTGTTGTCATAGTGCGGGCAGGATTATCAATTTCTCTTTTAATGGACACAAATTGAATCAAAAAATCTGTTGAGTATACCTATTAGAATAATCTATATATACATATACAGTTATAAGTAATCAACAAATTTATAATGCTTCATTTTTTTCATCTTGTTGCAAACTTTTGTGAATACATACATATATATACACACATATAAATCCTAAATCAAAAATAATTAAGCTTAATAGAATACCAAAAAAAAAACACACACACACAATACACATGAAATCAAACAAAAAATTAAATCAAGAAATAATTCTAACATATATCTCACTAAAAAAATCAATATTAAAAAACCTCTTTTGTGTGGGGTGTATGCGAGAAAATAGTGAATAAAACTCTAATTTTGAGAAGACAAAAGGTGAAGTTGTTATTAAAGAGGTGTGTATAATACGGGTTGAACTTAATTAAACTGAAGTGTGTATAAAAGGGGTGGACTTAGTAATTTTATTATAAAAATTTTAATGGGATAGAAATAGATATTTGTGGTGTGGAATAGCCCCACCTAATACTCTTTGAACCACATTGGATTAATTGTGAGTTTCATTTAAGATTGTGACTTACCATTAATAGATAAAGTGAATTAGGTTCAAAATTATGTTTAATAACATTGCATTTAAAGTACAAATAGGACATTACAAAAACAACAAAAACAGAAATTCAACTCCCATCCTTTTTTTTCCGACCAGACAAAATATATGAAATGAGACTCAGTAGAGAGAATGTCGCTAATTGATCACTTACTTGGCGAAGTTTTCTGGTTTCTTGCTAAGGCCAAAAGGATCATAACCATAACTGCATGTACAGAAAGGAAAGCATCACCATGACCTCCATTATATATATTCTTACTGAGGGTTAAATGGTACTCCAGCGACAACTTATGTCACAGTTTATGGGCTAACAATTGAAGTAATCGCTATTTCACGTACTAATTAACAAATTCGTGAATAAAATAAAAAAAAGAGCTGTAGCCTGGAAGCAGATAAAAATCTTACTCTCCAGGAACTTCTCCAGTCAAGTATTCGGGGATCTCTGATCGGTCCAAGAGCCCTTCGGGTAAGAAAATTCTTCTGTCCGGACCTGAAATGAAGAGAATACAGATTATTACTTACCCCAAAAAAAAAAAAAAAAAAAAAAAAAAGACGACAGTGAATTTAAGGCTAAATTTAAGTTCACTAATTTCATATCCGATTCATGAGGATTTGTAGAATTTCCAGGCCTATAGGTAACACTGAGAAGAGTCTGTCATTTGCATAAACATCAAGGTATATCCAGCTATGACATACGAGAATAATTTTAAAGAACTACTAAACCAACTGATCAACTCACTTACCATACCACTTGGCGAGCTCCTCATCTGCAGGGGAGACAACCTTTGCCTTCGTTGGTGGTGCTGCTTTCTTTTTCGAGAAAAGGGCAACGGTCTTGAAAGTAGTAGCACTAGACGGAGTCGGAGCGGGCCTCGATGCACCGGTGAAGTTCAGAGGTTTCCCGAGCATTTCTGACATGCCGATGGAGGCTGCTGCCGTGGATGTTGCTAGGGAAGCCATTGTTGCCCTGAGGAGGACAGGTTGTGAGGATGGTGGTGTTTTAGGAGGTGATGAGAATTGGAAAGGACTGAAGATGAGTATTGGAAAGGAGTAGAGGCAGTGGCTAAATGCTTGGTCGGGTGGACATGGACGTGCCAGGTAGAATTCTTGTTTTTATTATGCCATTGGTGTGAAGTGAGGATACGCAATCTGATACAACTGTCTGATTGGCTGAGATTGCCAACGTGGCAGATTATTGTGCTGACTTGTAATGCTCTTGAAACATTTTGATTGATCAGATTTGGATAACGCAACATTTGCTATCCACATTCATGCTCTGCCCTCATGGAAATTCTCTTTCGGTGCCTGTGTTTAAAATTGCAGACACATACATGAACGTATCCGTGGTTTGTGTGTGTGTGTGGTGCAGGAATCATGAAATTAGGACAGAGGTTAAACTCTTTGGACAGCGTGATAAAGAGGATCTAAGTGTCTAACCGTAGTACTTTTTTTTTTAAAAAAAAAAAAGAACAAAAGAATTTTATTGATTAAATCTCAAAAAAGTACAAGAATCAAAAACAGAAACTGTTTTAAGAAAACAGTTACTATTATAACAGAAAAATAGAAAATTCTGTTGCAAGTATCTCCTAGAATTCTATTACAAGTAATTGTCTCATAACAGAAATTCTACTTAAAAAAGAGTTACAAAACTCCAGATAAAACAGTTAAAAATACTTCTGTGCAACTGCTGCATTTTCTAAGTTCAGCTGACCGTCAACTTAAGTCATTAAAGAGGTAAAGTACCTCTGACAACAACCCTTTTCAGTCTAGAAGTAGGCAGCAGATTCTGGTCCCTCAGCAGCAGCAACTTTCCAGCAGATGGTAATATCCCATATCCTGAAAAATCAGTAGATCTCCCATTCTGAACAGCAAAAGAAGCTAAAAAAATCAGCTATTGCATTAGCTTCCCTGTAAACATGTTTAATCTGCACTTGCATAGCATCAAACAAACCCCTAATCCTTTCCAGAACAACCTGCAATCTCCATGGTACCTCTGTCATCCCCAACACCATCTGAACAAGTATTTGTGAATCAGATTCAATGAGAATTTGATATCTTGCAAAACCATACTGCATAATCAAATTAAATCCATCCAATAGAGCCAGACGTTCTGTTTTCATATTAGAACCTAGCCCATAAAAATTGGCAGCAGCTAACATTACATGCCCTTTGTGATCCCTCACCACTATCCCACCACCAGACAGACCAGTCCTTCCCTTAGGGGCCCCATCAACATTCAATTTCATTAATCCCTCAGGAGGAGGCTCCCACTTAATCCATTTCACCCTATTCTCCATGGTAAACAATGAACCAATCTTCTAGTCAATCAACAGTTCCTTCCCCATACCATCATCTGATCTTTTAGGCTTTATCAAAACAGCCTGCAAACTCAAAGCACTTACCACTTGCAAATATATAGTATATGAATTCAAAGAACCCCCCCCCCCAAAACCTCCTCCTACATCTCTCCCTCCAAATGGCCCAAAAAAATCAACAAGGCCACATCTCTAACCAGTCCATGACTCAAAGACTGAGCCTTGAAACTTCTTACCAATCTCAAAAATCTGCACATAGGTGATTCTCCATCTAGCACCTCAAAACCCATAATTGCAGCCACTCTCTCCCAGACAGCTTTAGCAAAAGGGCAACCAATGAACAAAGGAGAAGAATTTTCCTCATTTAGCATACACATATGACACCTGCTTGCCAATAAAACACCCACACTCTGGACCCTTGAATCTAGAGACAAAGCATTCCTATAAATTTTCCACCCACAATATTGAGGACTAGGAAAAAATTTATGTCCCCATTTGTACTTAGCAATCACACTTTGCTCCCCCTGTTGTCTAATCAGCTCCCATGCAATCTTGACAGAAAAGAGTCCTGAGCTAGTATGCTTCCACACTCTCCTATNTAGAGACAAAGCATTCCTATAAATTTTCCACCCACAATATTGAGGACTAGGAAAAAATTTATGTCCCCATTTATACTTAGCAATCACACTTTGCTCCCCCTGTTGTCTAATCAGCTTCCATGCAATCTTGACAGAAAAGAGTCCTGAGCTAGTATGCTTCCACACTCTCCTATCAGACTTATCTGATACTAATACCCCAGAATTCAATATCTCAGACTGCAGCTGAGGAGTAAGTACATTATCAATTTCCTCCAAACACCATCCACTATTACCCCACACCTCATGCAACTTAGGAAAAAATTGAAGAAAGAGGATCTCCCTGCCTCAATCCCCTAGAATTGGGGAAGAAACCATATCTCTGACAATTCAAACAAATAGAAAAAAATTGATTTCTCAAACATTTAGATACAATCTGAATGAAAAGGCTAGAAAAGCAAAAACTAGCCAGTACCTTCAACAAAAGTCCCATTCAAGCCTATCATATGCCTTCATCATGTCAAGCTTCACCACCAAATTACCCCCTCCAATTTCCTATCCAACTCTTCATCCGAAATCTGAGCCAAAGATACACAATCACCAATACCTCTCCCTTGCACAAATCCATGCTGCTCCTCAGAAATCAAAACTGGAAGCAAAGGAGCCAGCCTAGTAGTAATCAATTTAGTAAAGATCTAATACAAAAAATTGCATAAGCTAATAGGCCTGAAATCAGAAAAAGATATAGGAGCATTTGTCTTAGGAATCAGCACTAGCAATGTGGAATTCACTGATTTAGGGACCTCACACCCTTTCAACAAAAAATTGATTGCACTCCACACATCCCACTTAATAACTTCCCAAGCAAACTAGTAAAATTTACCAGACAAACCATCACGATCAGGAGCACTTCTAATTGCCATAGAGAACACTACATTCTTTACTTCTTCCATAGAAACCTCAGCCTCCAACCTCTCATTCTCAATATTTCCCACCAACTCAGGAATCACTTCAAAAATCTCATCATGTAGGCTATGTTCTTCTGACTTATACAACTTGGCATAAAACCTCTCAGCTACCCTAGCTATTTCCTGATCACCATACACCCATATCCCATCCTCATCTTTAATTCTGGACACCTTATTTCTCACAACCTTACTTTTAGCAATAGCATGAAAGAAATTAGTATTCCTTTCCCCTTCTAATGCCCATTTAATGTTAGCTTTCTGCTTCCAGAAAATATCCTCCCTCCTCAAGAATTCATCTAGTCCCTTCTTTAAATCCTCCAGCTCCAAAGGCTTAGCGAGATTAAATTCCTGATCTAAATTCTTTTCTGCCACTTGAATTCTATGCTNAATTACCCCCTCCAATTTCCTATCCAACTCTTCATCCGAAATCTGAGCCAAAGATACACAATCACCAATACCTCTCCCTTGCACAAATCCATGCTGCTCCTCAGAAATCAAAACTGGAAGCAAAGGAGCCAGCCTAGTAGTAATCAATTTAGTAAAGATCTAATACAAAAAATTGCATAAGCTAATAGGCCTGAAATCAGAAAAAGATATAGGAGCATTTGTCTTAGGAATCAGCACTAGCAATGTGGAATTCACTGATTTAGGGACCTCACACCCTTTCAACAAAAAATTGATTGCACTCCACACATCCCACTTAATAACTTCCCAAGCAAACTAGTAAAATTTACCAGACAAACCATCACGATCAGGAGCACTTCTAATTGCCATAGAGAACACTACATTCTTTACTTCTTCCATAGAAGCCTCAGCCTCCAACCTCTCATTCTCAATATTTCCCACCAACTCAGGAATCACTTCAAAAATCTCATCATGTAGGCTATGTTCTTCTGACTTATACAACTTGGCATAAAACCTCTCAGCTACCCTAGCTATTTCCTGATCACCATACACCCATATCCCATCCTCATCTTTAATTCTGGACACCTTATTTCTCACAACCTTACTTTTAGCAATAGCATGAAAGAAATTAGTATTCCTTTCCCCTTCTAATGCCCATTTAATGTTAGCTTTCTGCTTCCAGAAAATATCCTCCCTCCTCAAGAATTCATCTAGTCCCTTCTTTAAATCCTCCAGCTCCAAAGACTTAGCGAGATTAAATTCCTGATCTAAATTCTTTTCTGCCACTTGAATTCTATGCTCTTGTGTTCTTATATTGTCAAACACATTCCCAAAAACCTCCTTATTCCATAACTTCATATGAGTCGTCAAATACTTTAGTCTAATAAACAAATTGGACACAGGGTTCTCAAAAATAATGACCACCCCAATGAGAAGCAATCAGAGGCAAGAACCTTCATGCTCACACCACATGTCTTGGAATCTAAAGTATGATATCATTTTCTGAGCTGGACCATCCATAATTCTAATCATCAAAGATTGTGATCAAAAGTACCTCTAGCCATGTGCACCACCTCAATGCTATCAAATTTCAAATTCCAAGCACCATTGACTAAAGCCCTATCCAGTCTCTTAAGCATTCTAGCATGATCTTGATGATTGTCACACCAAGTGTATTTACTTCCAGTAAAACCACCATCTATTAGACCCCTATTATCTAAAAAGTCACCAAAATCCTCCATAGCAATAAGAGAAGGACAAGCACCCCCTCTCCTTTCATCTAAGTTTAAAATGGAATTAAAATCCCCTACAACTAACTAGGGAGTATGAGATGGAATATCAATATCCACCATATGCTGCCATACCAATCTCCTTACAATGTGGTCATGATGTAGATCGTATTAGGGATGAGAAGGGAAGAAGAAAGGGATGAGAAAAGAAGAAGAAGGAGATGAGAATAGAGAGAATTTTAGAAAGAAGATTCAATATCAATAATCAATAATCAAAGTCTACCAAAACAAATAACATATCTCCTATATATATAGGGAGACCACAAATCCTAAAAGAACTCTAAAAGAAATAAATAGTTATAATGACAACTAAACTCCTGAAAAACATAATGACAAATAACTCCTAATCCTTACACCTACGCCTACTATAACGAAATATAATCCGATTTCTATCATTTTCCCCCGGCTGAAAAGAACTCACCTCCGGAGAGATACGATCATGATAATGCTCTAGAAGATCAGGGTTAAGCCGACGAAACTCCTCCTCAGTAATCCATGAATCATCAGTCTTTGGACGATCTCTCCACCG